CCCAAAGCAACACAAATCGAAAAGTCATCCCACCTGAATTATGATTTTTCCTAGTTAAACCATCCGAAATAAACCAAATTGTACCAAAGCGTGATCCTCTGATTTTGAATGAGATATTGGGTTGCTGAATTAAAGCGAATTACTGTTCCCAATTCAATCTAATTTTAACCCAGTTGTGTCCGCCCAAACTGTGATATTAACACTACTAAACTGAACTGAACTTCAAATTAATGATAAACCTGCTAAACGTGATCATCTTCAATTAACATGGAGATCCAACTACACTATATTAAAACTACTAATTAGAAGAAACATAATCAGATCCTTAATCTAACAGTCCAGTACAGTCCATTATAGCCTAGTTTCACTACTTAAATCGAGTTCTGAATTAACACAATCCAGTTACCAAAATTTATTCTACAGTCCAATTATACAAAGCTAGCATAGATTTACATAATATCAATGAATGAAATGTTTAAAGGCGCAAGTCATGAGCAAAGCTAAATCAGAACTAGGCTTCAATTCTTCATATAAATTTACTTCTGCACATTTTCAGCTTACAGTCAATCAAGGACGCAATTGTGTACCTGGATGTCGAAATACAATAAGAAGAAGAAGAGTATCAGCAGCAGCAGCAAGCAAGGATCAGATAACAGCCCAGAAAAATGAGATCAATGATCCAGGAGGAGTTCACAGCAAAATAAAACCAGGAAATCAGCTATAGATGACGTGAATAGACCACATATACTTGAAATTTAGCCCAGAAATTCCAGAAAAACCAATCAACACTGAGAAACACCAATAACAAATTGCAAACGAACCCCAAGTTACTTGCAAACACCTTTTGAAACTTGAGCACAGAACAGAAACAGAGAAAACTGATCTAATTCTGATTCCAGACGAACTAACAGTTGAGTTAAGAGCTAAAGTCTGAAAAATGATCAATGTGACAGTTTATTTTTTTTTGATTTTTTGGAGATTTTCTATTGTTTTTGGTTTTTTAGAGTTTGAATTTCAAATCCTAGATCTGAAAATTGAAGAACACACTTTGGGGGGAATTCTGGAGGCTCCAAAACTTGTAGCAATTTTCAGGGTTTTCCCCAAAAAACCTCCTCTTGCAAGGCAAATAAATGCCTATTTATAGGCAAACTTAGGGTATAATTTCAGGTTTTTATTTTACCCTTTAGTCTCTATTTTAATTCTATTTTTACCCCTTATTTCCTGACTTGTTACACAAGTAACTACACCTATTTTGTTGAAATCTATACTAAAGCCCATTCTAGAAGGGTCTATACCCATTACAATTCCTATTCTATCCTTACTTCATTTCAACAATTACCAAATCTGATTAAACTACCCTTTTTCAGTGCCCAAACTACCCTTTAACTATACTGTAATTACTATTAGCCTATTTCATATGCCCAAAATACCCCTGAATTACTAACCTTAGCTAAAATCTACCAGCTATAACCAAGTTAACCCAAAGTGAACTCAAACTATAACATTTGACAGACAATCAGAATTAAACCAATTAACAATCCACATTTATTCAGTTCAAACAAAATAATACTCAACACTGATTTGAAACCGGAATTTTGACAAAAAATACAAAAATCAAAATCATCAACTACACCAATAATTGGAATCAATTTGAATTAAACTAACATTTAACAATTAACTAACAGTTGAATACTAAACTAAATAGAATGAAAATCATATTAGAATTAAACAATCAATGGAAATCGACCTAAATATTAACCTAAACATTTACTACTTGAAGAAACTAATTATTGTTAAACTAAACTACTAATTAGAATCATTCAACAATTAAAACTACATCTAATAAAACATGAATCGAATTAATAAAAGCCAAATTAAAATTACAAAAAGAAATAAGACAAAAACTTAACTGATTCCAGACTTCTCATGGCCAAACTATCAACAAAAGATTCTGACCTTGAAGTTCCACCCTAAAGACTCGATGCTCAAAACCCTAGATTTAAAATCCGGGTGCTTTTACTCAGATTCGAGGGGATTTGGTTGGGGATTAGTGATGAGGGAGGTCAGGGGAGTATATGGTATGAATTTGGGGCCCTCTGGACAAAGTAGGGTTTTGGCCGGAAAATTTATATTCCATATTCGAGCAGTTCTGGCCAGATTTGAGGGATGGGATTTGGGGGGTTTGATAGAGGAGGTAAAGGCGGTTATGTGGTGTTAATTTGGGGTGGTTTGGACGGAGTTGCGTCATGACCGAAAAACTTCCATCTAACATTCGAAGCTTTGGGGTGGGATTCGAGGAAAAATAAGGCTAGATTCGTGAAGAGGAAGATGAGATGAAGAGGTGGTGTAATTTTCAGGTGGTATGGATGAACGCCGCCGGCGGAGACGATTTCCGGCTGGCGGCTGGCGGCGGGCGGCGGAGACGGTGGCGCTACGCCGGCGTGCATTAGGGATTCTGAGAGATGATTGAGGGGTAGGGGGGCTATCCGACATTAATATACCCAACATCATAGTTAGTTCTGGACCGTTGGATTGATAAGATCCAAGGGTCGTGATTAATAGATCATGAAACGACGTCGTTTAAACATTAAACCATTGGACCGGATCAGGGCAATTTAGGCTTGGGTTTGGTCCGGTTTTAAATGACTTTTGGGCTTAAAATTAAATTTTGGCCCAAAATTTGGTCTTTCATCAAGACCATTCTTTTATTTTATTTTTACTCTTTTCTTTTGTTAGCCTTTTGTATTTATTTATTTTTTTTTTTTTTCTGATTTTATAAAATGTTAAAACAAAACAAAGACCTAATTAAACTATTTAACTCCTAAAATTATTTAAAGTTCTATTTAAAGATAAATGCAACAATTAACAATTAAACGTGCAAAGAACTATTTTTGCAATTTTCTTTAAATTTGTTCTAAAACCAACTAATACTAAAATTGTGACATTAAATCCCTAAATGCAAATGCATATTTTGTATTTTCATATGAATAAAATGCAACCAATTAACACAAAAATTTAGCAAAAAATTCACAAAAATTGTAAATAATAGAGAAATCAATTATTTAAGAATTTTTGGAAATACTTTGCTTAGGGCAAAAATCACGTGCTCACATATCTTCTCGGAGTTAGCAAGGTAGCTGCTGGCGATCGCAACCCTGCTCTTCTCCGTCCTATCTTCCTATAGGAGTTTGTAGTTACATTTTCAAACTGTGTTAGTCTTAGTATTTTTGGACAGATTGTGGTAGATGCTCATGACTAGTGACACCCCGATGTCGGGCTTTTCTTTCCGCCTTTTTATTATTTAGAATTTCTTTATGGAATTTATTATTGAACAACTTGAAGTCATCTTTAAATTTAAATATCGTGTTGTTTTTAGTAAAGAGTCGACTTGCCTAGTACACGATAGGTGCCATAACGACTTGGTAGTTTGGGTCGTGACAATAACTTAGCCAAATAATTTAGTAAGTAGTGTTTATGTGATTTTAAAAATTCTGTATTATTTATTGATAAGCACAATAAGCATGACGGAGATGTTGAGCATTCAAAATTTTCTTGTTGAGATAAACATATACAGCTAATTACCATAAAGACATCTTCAATACATGCCTTATCTATTGTACTCTCAAAATAAAGGTATAACAATAAAGTTAGACATGTGCATGCATATGTTACTTTATATATATATATATATACAACAACAACAACAACAACAACAACATACCCAGTAAAATCTCACTAGTAGGGTCTAGGGAGGGTAGGATGTACGCAGACCTTACCCCTACCCCGGAAGGATAGAGAGGCTGTTTCCGGGAGACCCTCGGCTCAACAGAAAAGATAATAATTTCAGAAAAGGAATGAAACAAGAGATATGTAACAACAAAATAAGCAAGAGAAGTGATAATAATATCTTAAAATAGACCAAATAAGTGAAAGGGAGTGCAATAATATAATCATATGCAAAATAACAAAATAGTGTGAATACAACATATACCGCTACCAGACATAGGCAAAACTCTATCAGACTACCCGGTACAAAGAGGGAAAAACTATGAACTGCCCCTAGCCTACAACCCTAATGCTCAACCTCCACACTTTCCAATCAAGAGCCATGTCCTCGAAAATCTCGAGTCGCGCCATGTCTTGCCTGATCACCTCGCCCCAATTCTTCTTAGGCCACCCTCTACCTCTTCTCGTACCTGCCAAAGCCAACCGCTCGCACCTCCTAATCGGGGAATCTATGGTTCTCCTCCGCACGTGTCCAAACCACCTAAGCCTCGCTTCCCGCATCTTGTCGTCCACGGGAGCAACGCCCACCTTCTCCCTAATAACTTCATTCCTTATCTTATCCAGTTTAGTATGCCCGCATATCCATCTCAACATCCTCATCTCGGCTACTTTCATCTTCTGGATATGTGAATTCTTAACTGGCCAACACTCAGCCCCATATAACATAGCCGGCCTAACCACCCCTCTGTAGAACTTACCTTTGAGTTTTGATGGTACCTCCTGTCACACAGGACTCCAGATGCTAACCGCCATTTCCACCTCACCCCAATGCGGTGCGTGACATCCCCGTCGATCTCCCCATCTCCCTGGATAATAGACCCTAGGTACTTGAAACTTTCTCTCTTGGGGATGACTTATGAGTCGAGCCTCACCACCCCGTCCGCTTCCCCCGACACGCCGCTAAACTTACACTCCACATATTTCGTCTTGGTCCTACTCAACTTGAAGCCTTTGGACTCCAGAGCCTGCCTCCACACCTCCAATCTCTCATTAACACCGTTACGCGACTCATCGATCAAAACTATATCGTCAGCGAACAACATACACCATGGCACCTCCCCTTGAATATGGTGTGTCAAGGCATCCATCGTCAGAGCAAATAAGAAAGGGCTAAGTGCAGATCCTTGGTGTAACCCCATAATCAGCGAAAAAAGCTCGGTGTCACCTCTCGCAGTCCTGACCCGAGTCTTAGCTCCATCAAACATATCCTTTATCTATTCAATGTATGCTACCGGCACCCCTTTGACTTCCAGGAATCGCCAAAGAACGTCCCTAAGGACCCTGTCATACGCCTTTTCAAGGTCAATAAACACCATGTGCAAATCCCTCTTCCTCTCCCTGTGTTGTTCCACCAACCTCCTTATAAGGTGGATAGCTTCCGTAGTAGAACGTCCCAGCATGAATCCGAACTGATTTTCAGAAATAGATACCGCCCTCCTCACCCTCCCTTCCACCACCCTCTCCCAAACTTTCATGGTATGACTTAACAACTTGATGCCCCTATAATTGTTACAATTTTGGATATCACCTTTGTTCTTAAACAGCGGAATCATCAAACTACATTTCCACTCATCTGGCATCCTCTTCGTCTTGAAAATAACATTAAACAACCCAGTCAGCCATTGTAAGCCCGCTCTACCCACATACCTCCAAAATTCTACTGGAATCTCGTCTGGTCCTGTCGCTTTGCCCCGACTCATCTTACCCATAGCTTTCACTACCTTCTCAACCTTGATACGCCTACAGTACCCAAAGTCACGGTGACTCTCGGAGTGTCCCAACTCCCCTAGCACGGTGCTACCGCTCCCCTCATTATTCAGAAGTTTATGAAAGTACGCCTGCCATCTATGCTTAATCTGGGAGTCTTCCGTCAATACTCTACCTTTCTCGTCTTTGATGCACCTCACTTGATCCAGGTCACGAGCCTTCCTCTCTCTCGCTTTAGCCAGCCGAAATAGCTTCTTCCCCACCTTTGCCCCCTAGTTCCTCATACAACTGATCAAACGCAACAGTCTTAGCCTCTGTGACCGCTAATTTTGCCTCCTTCCTAGCTTTCTTATACCTCACTCTGTTCGTTCTCCTCTGCTCCTCATCGGTACTCTCCACTAATGCAAGGTACGCCATTTTCTTTGCTTCCACTTTACCTTGGACCACATCATTCCACCACCAGTCGCCTCGATGCCCGCCATAGTAGCCCTTCAATACCCCTAACACCTCTCTTGCCGCCTCCCTAATACAGTTCGTCGTCGCCGTCCACATAGCGCTAGCATCCCTACTACTCTTCCAGGCACCCATAGCCAACAGCCGCCCCTCCAACTCATGCACAGTATCCTTAGCCAAAGCACCCCACTTGATCCTCGATTGACCCCGTACAAACCTCTTCTTCCTCTTTATCACGATACCAACGTCCATCACCAGGAGCCTATGTTGAGTCGCGAGGGTCTCACTCGGGATCACCTTACAATCCTCGCACACCCCCCTATCACACCTCCTGAGGAGGATATAATCAATCTGGGTCTTAGCCACCATACTCCGGAAGGTAACCAAATGCTCCTCCCTCTTCGGGAAACTAGAGTTCGCAATCACCAACTCAAAATCCCTAGCGAAATCCAATAGAGAAGTACCACCTACGTTCCTATCCCTAAAGCCGAAGCCACCGTGCACCTCGCCATAACCCCCAGCCGACGACCCAATATGACCATTGAAATCCCCTCCTATAAATAATTTCTCCGTTGACGGAATACCCTGCACCACCTCATCCAACCCCTCCCAGAAGCTCCTCTTAACCTCCTCGACCAAGCCCGCTTGCGGCGCGTGCGCGCTAACGACATTCAGAGTGCTCCCTCTAACTACTAACTTAATCGCCATCAATCTGTCATTCACCCTCCTAACCTCAACCACTGACTCCCTAAGCTCCCTGTCCACCAAAATACCCACTCCGTTCTTGCCCTTCATGCGTCCGGAGTACCACAATTTTCACCCGTCTACATTCCTCGCCTTCGATCCTACCCACCTGGTCTCCTGAACACAAGCTATATTGACATTCCTCTTCTGGAGAATCTTCGCTAGCTCTATAGACTTACCTGTTAACGTCCCTATATTCCACGATCCAATCCTCAACCTACAGGCTCCCTTGTTGCGTTTACCCCCTCTGGGCCCTGTCCCACCCCATGACCCGTGTCCTACCCCCGTCCCACCACCCGTCCACCCCGGCCACCCCGAGGACATGACCCTACTCTGTCATTACAAACCGCAACCGCTATTCCTACGGTGGTCTAGACAAAAATGCAACTACAAACAAGCAAAGGTATAAACTAGAAGGTGACAAATGTCCTAAACTACTACAGCAACAAGTTAACTTAAACAAATAGGTGACGGGAGGTACCAATTCCCGCGGATAGAACCTGAAATTTCGACTTGCTATACTCCCGGTGTTGTGGGACCCGACGTCCAGCCCTTGGGACTACCAACCAGCCTGCCTGCTCTGTTGCGTTTGCTCATACACCTCCCAACGGGAACGATCTATTGGTTTGCTTGTACACCAAATCTGCTGCTGGCCCGACTCGTCGGAAAAAATGACGGACCCTGTAAAACACACGAACCCTGACGTCCAACAAAGTGCAACCTGGAAAACACACAAACACACAACGGAACCGAGAAAAGAGACAAGTGCTGGACTGTCACCGTTACCACCAGTGACACACAGATCTGCTGCTGGCTTGACTCGCCGGAAAACAATGACGAACCCTGTAACAGTGAAGCGACGCCGGGAAAAGAAGAAGGGCGACGAAAATGAAGTATAAAGGAGAAGGGGAAGCACAGAGAAGGGGGTTGGGGTTGAAGCCGGAAAAAAGGAGCGGCGCCGGTGTAGCGTCGATCGCCGGCCTAGTCCCTGCTAGGGTTAAGAAGGGGGCAGAAAGAGAGGGGGAAGAAAAGGAGAAATGCGGAGGGAGAGATAGAGAGATAGAGAGAGGGGGGAGAGAGAGAGGGGTGTGCTTACCTGGCTTACCCATCCACGCCGGTGCCGGTGCTGGCGAAGTTCACCGGCGAAGCTTACCGTTAGAATTAGACCGTTTGTATTCAGATATATATATATATATATATATATATATATATATATATATATATATATATGTGTTACTTTATTTGTCATAAAATATTTATATTTCCTTTTATATTGAATAAAAAATATTATATGGAATGGTATTATAAAGGTGAAATTGCATGACTCAAATAATAAAAGATGTATCATTTGAAAAAATGAGATCAAAGAAGCAGAATTTAAATTGGATACTTAAAACTTTATATATATCAGCAGAATACAAAAGTGGAGATATATTTATTGCCATAACTTATGGATTGAATTTTTTTGTTTTATTACATTTTTAGCAATATTATGTCTTATTATTGAGGAGGAGCCTTGGCGTAACTGATAAAATTGTTGCCTTGTGTCCAGGAGATCACGAGTTCGAGCCGTTGAAACAACCTGTTGCAGAAATGTAGGGTAAGGTTGCGTACAATAGACCCTTGTGGTCCGGCTCTTCTCCGAATCTAACGCATATCACGAGCTTAGTGAAACGGGCTGCCACATTAGGTCTTACTATTAATTGTACAATATTTTTCTAGGTGAATTTTATACATTACGTACAATTAATCATCGCCACATAGTTAATTATAAGTCGTAAAAAGATCCTAAATGCATCTTTTGTGTTAATAAATTTCATCATGAGATTCCAGTATATATTTTATTTGGCAAAGAAATGTATCAAATTAAACCAGTATTTGTAATAGAGTCGGAAGAAGATAAATAACTTCACAAAAATTTCTGAGCATTTAATAATATTTTTGGTTTAATTTTACCTCTTTCAATGTCTAAGCATGACAAATGAATAAATTTTCAAGGAACGAAATTTACACATTTAAGGATAAAAACAAACAAATCACGATCTTCTAGAAATCAATCTGTGATGACCCAAAAGGTCATCTTGTGTTGTAGAACCCAATCTGGTGTTCCGAGATCTTCAAAACCTCACTTTATTTCTCCTCGATTTGCGTGCGCAATCCGGGCACGTTTCCGAAAAGCCTTTATGTGGAAATTTGAGAAAAAAATAATTTTTGCCTTTAAAAGTTGAATTTAGTTGACTTCGGTCAACATTTTGAGTAAACGGAACCGGACCCGTGTTTGACGGTCCCGGAGGGTCTGTAGTAAAATATGGGACCTGGGCGTATGCCCGGAATCGGATTCAGAGGTCCCTAGCCCGAGTAATGAATTTTTGTTAAAAATTATTAAACTGAAAATCTAAGGATTTAAAGAAATTGATTAATGTTTGATCTCGTTGGTATCGTGCCCATATTTTAGTTCCGGAGCCCGGTATAGGTTTAATATAATATTTAAGTCATGTCTGTAGAATTTGGTGAGAAACGGAACTGATTTGACGTGATTCGGACCTTTGGCTGAGAAAATAGAAGTTTTGAAACTTTCTTAAAAATTTCATGCTATTTGGTGTTAAATTCGTAGTTCTAGGTGTTATTTTAGCGATTTGATCGCGCAAGCAAGTTCGTATGATGTTTTAAGACTTGTGTGCATGTTTGGTTTGGAGCCCCGAGGGCTCGGGTGAGTTTCGCATAGGCTATGGATTGATTTGGATTTAAGAAAATTGCTGGTATGCTTCAGGTCTGCAGACTTCGCATTTGAGAAGTCTGGCTTTTAAATGCGAGCATCACATTTTCGAATAAGTTTCTCATTTGCAATCAGAAGGGCTGGGAGGGGACCTTCGCAATTGCGAAGCTCAGATCGCAATTGCGATAAGAACAGATCGCATTTGCGAACAATTGTTCGCATTTGCAATAGTAGCAGGTCCTGGACATTCTTCGCATTTGCGATGGAATGTGCGCATCGCATCTGCGAACCCCTGATCGCAAATGCGATATCTGCAACTGTTCAAAAATGATTTTGGACGGGAACTTTCATTCATTCTCCCATTTTTCAAAACCTAAACCTCAAGAGGCGATTTTCCAAAGGCAATTTCTTCCCCATATCATAGGTAAATGATTCTTAACTCATTTCTTTCAATCTTTTGCATCTTTTTACAAGATTTCATCATAGAATATAGGGTTTTTCATGGTGGAATTGGGTGTTTTTGGGTAGAACTTAGGAATTTCAAAATTTGGGAATTAAGACCTCATATTGGGGCCGGATTCCAAAACCAATTGTATATCCGGGCTCGGGGGTGAATGGGTAATCGGATTTTTATCCGAACTTCGAGCTGGTAGTGGCTAATCGAGAGGTCGGCTGCATATACTTCATCCAGGAGACCCAAGGTTGTCTTGCTGGCGTCCGCAGGCCCTAGCGTCCCCTCCTATGTTTCTATTTCCCTGTTTTCTTTTCTTTCGAGACAGATGTACTTCTTTCAGACCAGTATTTGTAGTAATTCATAGTATGTTCGTGGATTATGACACCAGTTTCTGGGTGGTAATAGCTTCGGTACTATTAATAGTATATAGTTAGCCGGTTTATTATGAACTTCTGCATTTATTTCTTTTTGATTTAGTTTTGTTAATTTTAGCTATAAAATGTAAAGGAAAAAGGTGAATAGAACTCTAACGTTGGCTTGCCTAGCGAGTACGATGTTAGGCGCCATCACGGTCCCGATGGTGGGAAATCCGGGTCGTGACAAGGTAGTATCAAAGCACTAGGTTGCCTACATCTCACAATTCACGAACAAGCTTAGTAGAGTCTTAGGGATCGGTACGGAGACGTCTGTGCTTATCCCCCAGAGGCTATAGAGTTAGGAACAATTTCACTTCTATTCTTCTCTGTCATGCGATTTGATATTTCAATGCTAATTGAACTCTCTACTCTTGTTCCTTCGCAGATGGCGAGAACACGTACCGCTTCATCAACTGATCAGCAGTCCGAGCCCCCAGTGGCAACTCCTACGAGGGGTAGAGGACGAGGCCAAGGCCGTGCTAGAGGCCGAGGCAGGGGCAGGACTCAGCCCAGAGCTCGAGCAGCAGCTGTCGATGCCCCCTTTTTCTAAAGACGAAATCGGGTTTATGACATTCGGACAGACAACTCTTTTCCTTTTGGGAATTGGATTTGCAATTTAGAAGAGTCGCCACCTAATGATTAAGTGCATTAGGACACTAAGAAATTCAAAAGAGAAGAAGAACCAGAGAATGGGTAAGGGCTTGAAATTATCTCGGGGGGAAGGTGTTAGGCACCCCCCAAGATCCACTAGTGTGGTTCCCGGCCATGCTACAATTGTGACTTTGAATGGAAACAACAAGTAAGCAAACAAGACAACTTTCACATAATGATTGCAACAAGGAAAGTATAAAAATTAAAAGCGTGTTGAAGTTTAGAAATAGGCGATTTCATAATTGTTTAAACGGGTAAAAGCCAGTTAAGGAAAGGAGTTTTAATTAAAACCCTTTCAAAGTAGCATAAGAAGGGTAAATACATAGGAGTTATTTAAGGAAAACAATCAACGGTACACGGTTTGTGCTAAATATGGCAAGGAAATCAATCAAACAACCAGTGAAACCAAAATTACAAGTTCAATTAGAATGAACCAAGTCAGGAAAGGTAAAAGAAGTTCAATCAAAGAAAATCAGTGACAATCTGTCAGCCTTATTAAAAGGATTTCAGAATCAATCAATTAGTTGGTAAACCTTTTGAAAAAGGAGTTTCTCATATATAAAGCACACAAATAAGTGAATCAAGAAGGGATTGTCAAGTTATTT